GGCAGGGGCAGGGGCAGGGGCAGGTGGGCGAGGGGGAACTATGATTTGGTGTTGGCGCTGTCTGTAGGCGATGACTGTGCCTAACAGCAGGGCGATGACGGTCATGAGGTAGAGGTCCCACTCCGGGCCCAGAAGCTGGTCCAGGTCCACCTGAGAAATCAGCTCCTTCAACTGACAGGAGCCGAAGCCAAATGGGGAGAGGATGGAGGACAAAGACGCATATGATTCATTTCAGTTCCCTCTATTAAAGCTTTTAACTTAGATGAATTACAATCTTGAGTTTCTGTTTGGAAGCCAAATTGTCACAACTCCAGCTGGAGAATTTAACAAGCAGTACTCACGTTAAGATCCTGCAGGTACTGCAGAGTGTAAATCAGACCCAGCTTGCACAAGGCCAGAAAAACTGGGACCTGGGCATCAGGACTGGCTTCTGCTGCCATGTCGTAGAAACGTTTGGCTAAATGGATGTCCTGCGGAGCCAAATTAAACAATTCTGAATCACACATCTTTTCAATTTGACACACGCAAATGCATTAACTGTATTCACCAGTGAAACTCCATGCCCACCTGTTTGATGCCAAGGCCTTTCTCATGCATGTAACCCAAGTTAAACATGGCCTGGGCACTGTGCTGCTGCTCTGATGCCAGTCTGTAGTGGATGACAGCTGTCTCGTAGTCCACATCTGTTCCGTAGCCGTAGAAGTGGTAGTCCCCTAGTTTTATTCTTGCCACAGTGTAACCTGGGAATGACAATTACATATGTCAGCTTCCATTCTTAGCAGATTGTTGGTGGTTTTAAGGAGCCAAATTCAACTTGTTTTCTTTATGTAAAACAAACATAGATGGGTTCCTGATATGTTAAATGCTAAAAATAAATCCAGCACAGAAATAAAATGGATGAGGGACAGTGTGTACCGACTCACCTTGTGCTGCAGCTCTTGTCCAGTGCAGCAAAGCACGAGGGTAGGTCTCATTCTCACTGAAAATCTTTGCTCCTTCTGTTTGTTACAATCAATACAAAAGACAACAAAAGGTTAGCAAGTTGTTGTTGTTTTTTTTTTTTACTAAAGTTGGTGGATTATAATTTGGGGAAAATGTACATAATGAAACACACAAGCATTTTCCCCAACATGTTTTCACTAAATCAGTGTTGCTTTTGTTTACCAAGAAGCAAACCAATTGTGATTAAACTAAGGCAAAGACTTACTTAAATATGAACTGTGCCTACTGCCACTTGTTACATTTCAGGGAAATAAGTGTAGATACTATTAACATAAATATTCCTTGTTAGATCACCAAAAGGTCACACAGCAGAATAAGGAAACTAGACAAACATGCGTGCTTTATATATGCTATCATATTTACATACAGTTTATCTGTCTTCCACAGGGTCAGAGTTTTTTTGTAATAGCGACACAAAGACTAAAGAGTTTTTTTTTTTTTTTAGACACTAATATAAACTAATGTTGTGTTTTTCTTACTCTGGTCCAGAACGAAGGCCACATTGCTCTGGGCCACCTCATAGCCCTGCTCAGCCAGCAGCAGATACTGGACCAGCGCAGCATCCGTCTCACCCTCCTTAAAGCTGCCGTAGGCCGTCATGAGACGCTCTGACCAGCGGCCGCGCTCACACACATTCTTGAAAAGCTGCAAAGAAGATACAGGCACATAATGTATCACTTTACCACTTCCAAAACCATACAAGAGTGTAAAGAAAGACAGCTCGAAGGGGACTAAAAATGAATAATAACTGTTCAACTCAAATGACGAGCAACATATGCAGCATACGGGCTTCTAGGGATGTCAGGAGATCGTTACTTTTTGAATACTTTCGTGACCAAGTCAAGAACATTCTGATAACAAGAAGGTACTCGTTTTTCTACAGTACCGTAGGTACCCAGTATGCAATTTCTCCGGACCTGACAGCGCAGCATATAAGCCTACAAATACTCTAGTAGGCTGTTAAATGCCACAAGAAGAACATGTCGAAGATGGCGACAAGTGCAGAGGTACAGGTGATTTACTCGCAAAACTTTCATATACAGCGCTCCTTCTCAACTCTCCTCTCCATCTGTGTCTCTGTCGCTGTGCTGTGTGTTTGTACAGTGAAAACACTGCCACGGGTGGTGCTGAGCTCCTGGTCAGATGTGAGAAAGAGAGCGATGGGAAGCCACACACTCACCACACCACCAACAAAAATCAAATAAGAGTGATTTATTAATGGAATCTGCACAAAAGATGTACAGACAAGGAAAATTTAGCAGAATACAGTTCATCCAGGTAATCCAGGTTGGCCAAGGCTGCACTGAAGCAACAAACACACATTTCTGGTATCGTGACATCCCTATGGGCTTAAATGGATGAGTGATTGCTGAATCACAGAGAGAAACATTCTCAATTCACCTCAATTTAACAAAGAGAATGGAGCAGCAGCTCCTGGGTGCCTCACCTCCACAGCAGTGTGACAGGAGCGCATCACACCAGTACCAGTCGCATGCATCTGGGCCAAGTTGTAGAAGGCCAGGATGTGGCCTGCCTGTGAGGCCAGGTTGAAGAATTTAAGTGCCTGCTTGTAATCACGCTTCACACCAATGCCATCTGAGGAATGACAGGAAGAAGAGAGAAATACATTTTTTAAATGGAGGAGAAAAGAAGTATTCTAGCCAACAGAAATGAAAATGATGTAAAGGGAGAGACTGATTGAGGGATAGTGAAAGAAACTAATTATTAAAATTTTCAAATGCAGGAATGACATCTACCAGAAAGACAACAAGGAGAAAGGACGCTATGTACCACAAGCACACACCATGCACAGATGTACACACACAGTTTCAGCTCTCAACACTCACTGTAATACATGGTGCCCAGCTGGAGTTGTCCGTCCACCCAGCCCTGCTCTGCTGCCTTCTGGAAGTATTTCAGTGCCAGCTCATAGTTCTGAAGACACAAACACACAACTTTCAAATGGCCACTCATCTCATTTCAGCATGAGTGACATGCTTGCTATCAAAATGAAACCCTCGTACGCCAAACGCCTCCACTGAGATTTAAATTTCACCTTACTTTTAATTTCATAATATTCCAAATCCTAGTGCCAAAAAGTGTAGCTGCCAAGTTAGCAAGACAGAGCAAGCTGCAAATTAAAATGGGTCTGAGAGGGTGTATCTTAAAACTTCGACATGATTTTAAAAAAGGATTGTAAATTGTAATGGTTTCTTACCACTGGGACACCTCTTCCATATAGGTAGGCCATACCGAGGCCACTCTGCCCCACTGGATTACCCTGGATAAAAGAGGATAGTGAATAACAACTGAATAACACATCAGCAAGAGGTAAAAATGTGTACAGTAACAGAAACCTCTTTCTCTCCAGAGATAATAGAGTGCTGCTTTCTGCTTCTCTTTCTTAACGAATAACTGTGCTGATAAATGCTGATACATATATACAGCTTAATTCTTACCAGGTCAGAGGCCTTCTTAAAGTACTGCAGGGCTGTCTCGTTGTTCTGAGGGAGATAGTCGCTGCCTTCCGAGTACATCTAAAAGGACAGAAGGAGTAAAACAGTCTCTTAGAAACCAAGAACTTGATGCAGTGCCTCAAATACAAATGCACTGCACCTCCCTCTATTAAAACAGCAATGCCAAGTCATTGGGTTGATTTATTTTGGATTCAGTTTAGACCATCTCTCCTTAACTCACTGACTGCTTCTTCCAAGTGCTGACACAGTATGGGCACCACAATTATAATGTTTACAAACACAGAAGTGAAACGGATGGGCAACAAGAAACTATTTGAATATATTGAACTAGTTGGTTTGCTAAAGGACAATATCCAGCAAGCTAGTAATAGTAAAACAAAAAAGAAGAAGTAAATAAATAAAACTGTCTCATTAGAAATAAATCAGCTTCCACCTCATTCTGACACCTCACTCACCTTGCCGAGGAAAGCCATAGCATGTGTATTCCCTGCGTTTGCAGCCTGTGTGAAGTAGTCATACGCCCTCTGTTGGATGGGAAGCATCATTAATACATTTACTGGTGCAAATTACAATCACAAGAATACAATACTTCTTTGAATAAAAGGGTCACCTGATGATTCTGTTCTACTCCACGTCCTCCATGCAGGTGTAGCTGACCTAACCCAACCTGTCAGGGGAAATAAAGAGCTCGGTTAACTTACATGACACAAAATTAGAATTATAAATAGAATTGAACAGATTGATACTTTACGTTCACACAATGACGTATTGGCTTCCTCTAATTACATAAATGTAATATACCTGAGATATTTGCAATGAGATTATGACTGTTGTGAATTGTTGTTTTCCCTTCATGCTACATCTATAATTATCTTCCTGACCATGAGACAGACTTGATGACAACTGAAACGTAGCAGAAAATATGCTGTAATCAAGTCACAACTACTAGTGAAATTTCTCTGTTGACCTATGAAAATGGAAAACACATTTTACTCATGCTTATCTAACATTTGGCTGTGAGGCAGCACAGTGAGGTCTGTTTAAGCAGGAAAGCATGCAGCTGTTTTCTGTGACATAATAATATGTTCTATAAATAAATTGTAACAGATTTTATATTTTTTTTATTAAAGAAAAACTGTCCCTGATCTGCAAAAGCAAGTTGTAATGGTTGTATAAATAAATTGCTTCACTGAACAAAAGACATTGATTAATGAGGACACTATTTACCTGAGCTTGTACATCTCCTTTCTCAGCTAGAAACTGATAATACTGGATCAAGTCCTCCTCCAACATCCCACTGGTAGATCCCGGGTTCTCCACCTCATCCAGCAGCCTGATCCTCTGCACCGCTGAGCCCCCTGTGAGGGATACATCACTGGCCACTGCAGGTGGTGAGGGAGTACAGAGTGGAGCAAAAGCAGATGGAGGTTATTTGCTCAAGAAGAACCAGAACCTGAATATCATATCTTAAAAATTCAGTAAATGCTCACCCTGATTTGCCACAAGCCTGTAGTGTGTTAGTGCAGACTCACAACTCTGGGGAACACCAACACCTCCCCAGTATCTGTATCCCTAATGAAACAATAAGAGAAAATATTGCTTTTTTTTTAATACTTTAGAAGTAACATGACTGTGTCATTGCTCCACTGACAGACAAATGAACTCACCAGAATCATATGAGCTACCAAGTTTCCACCTAGTGCCCCAAAGGTGTAGTAAACCAAGGCCTGAAAAATGGAGAGTTTAGGTAACAGTTGTTTAGAAAGGAGACATTAAATACATTATGTTTGTAAAACGTTTTTGTCCAAAGTAATTTACAATATGTGCATTTTAGTAAGACACAATTTCAATCATACAGAATAAAAAAAGTACCTTTGCCTGACTCGAGTTAACTCCAAGTCCTGCTGCGTACAGAAAGCCAAGAGCCTATGGAAAAGCAAAGAAAGCCCAGTGTTACACAACTGATTCTTTAAATACAAATAATCAGCCAATTTAATAAGATGTCAGGTCAAAATGTTTTCCACACTTTTTGGATGAGATCTTTACCGTCTGAGCTTTAGGTGAGCCCTCTATTGCAAGCTTCTCAAACATTTCTTTGGCCTTGGTGACATTCTGGTTCATGTAGTCTCCAAACAGCATGGCATACGCCACCTTCTCCATGGCTTTCTGGTGGCCCTTCTCTGCTACTTTCAGTAGCTTTTCATATAATCTGAGAGAGTGGTTGGATAAGCAGAAGTGGCGCAAGAGAGGTCAACTTGACACGAGCATAATAAAATTGATGTGTACATAACAAACAGTATGACACCTAGAGCAAATAATGATGTGCTGAGCAAAGTCACATGGAAACAAAGCACACATAAAATAGATATAGCCATACCAAAACTAAATTTACAATCAGCTCAAATAATGCCAACTGTTAAACAAGAGTAAACAAGAAGCTTTAGGCCACATGATAAGATGACTGTTCACACAGAAGGCTTGATTGGCTCTTGGTTTTAATATGCAGTGTTTCAAAACAAACAATGAGACATCTTGTGTGAGCTGGCTGGTCTTCCAGCAGTCCTGATGGTTGAAAAAAAAAAATAGAGCAAAGATCTACCATTGTCAGTGTGTTGGGGTCTATGCTGCTAAAGCCATATCAAAAAATAAGATCTAAGATTTCATGAACAAAATGACACCATTTTTGTCATAATGCCATTTGTTACCTACAAATCCACATGCTGTTTAAAACAATACAGAGAAGTTCAACACAGAAGATTTGCTGATAGAAAACCAATGAAACTAATCAGAAGGAAGTAACTCACTCTTTCTTCTGGGTTTTCCTGGTGGTGGCATTGAGCATGTGCAGGACAGTCTGATACTGCTCCTCAGCCTCCTCCGCCTGCAGTCTCTGCTGCGCCTGCTCCTCCGCTAAGGGGAAAAGAGAAGATACAGATTAAGAAACTAAAAAGGATTATAAAACTGGCAGCAGAGGGGGCAATAGCAATTTTGGAAGTGAAACCATGCTCTCAGGCTAGTTTCAGAAGCTGTTGAGGCATTGATGAACAATTTATCTTTATCTACTGACTTTGTGGGAAATGAGCCAAGCATATTGAAAAAGGTTTATCCAACCATTTAAGCAAATAAACTATTTTAGGCTGATAAATGGCTGCATTTTGGCTTTAAAAAAAGATGATAATAATAATAATAATGATAATAACAACAACTGCCACATTTGTTTTGGGGAAATGTTTATATTATGATAGTGAAGGTATTAAATTGAAGACTTACTCTCACAGAAACCCCACTTCTTCTCCTGGTCATAGTCGTAGGTTGTGGCGCACCACAGCCGTCCATCCCCCCGTCCATCAGTGGTACAGTCCAAGTATTCCTTCCCCTGAAAGAGGAAGGGGAAGATGCAGGGCTCTCCATGGGCTGTACCTCCATTCACAACAGGAACTGTATCAAAAAACAAAACACATCACATAAATACATTAGATCATACAAAAAACTAAAAACAATAAAGTATATAAGTAATAATTGGATATAGTATGATAACATGAAAAAAGTGTTACCATATCCAATGTAATCTCTTTTTTTCCCTAAGAAACAGTAGTTCAGGATTTACAACTTGATATTAAACAGACAGTCTGTTAGTTTTAATAAATGTCAGTAAATCTCCATCTTCATACAAGCTCAATGTTATAACGACAGCTGGAAGAAGACTAACAATCCTCAAGTAAAATGATGCAACTGTCTGCAAGAGGGGCCACAGGTGCAAAGCGTTGTTAATTTCTCATGGGGTTTAACCGTTTATCCAATCTGGCGCTGCTCTGAAACCACACACGTCTTTGCTCAGAGTCAGCAAAACTGAAAGCAGGACAAGACTCAACGAAGCTTACAAAATAAGACAAGACAGACTTCATTCTCTAAAACAGATGTCATTTGAGGCAAGGTAAATCTTAAGGTCTTAAATAACTCATATGGTGCTAAAGTACTTTGGAACATCTAAGCATTTAAAATAGTTCAGCTGATACAATAACAGACCTGGGCTACCTGCTTCTCGTGGTTGATACAGATAAGATAACTGATCATTTTATTTTAAAAATAAGTTTATAACCTGTAGTTTTTAAGAAATGTTAAGATGTAGTGTGCACAGATGGATGATTTAATATATTATAGATCTAACCAAATCTAACTGACATCACTATTGTTACCAACAACGAACAGCCGTTCTGACTCTTCAAATTCAGTTTTTCTAGTAAAGTTCATTAAATAAAACTTTACAAACATACTTTGGCTTTCATAGAACATAAAGTGTATCAGTAGTTCTGCAAGATAATTACAGATAAATGATTTCATCCCTCTTTACAATAGTTAGATGTTACATTTGAAACTGCAGTGTCCAAGCTGTTAACACAGATATTCAAAGCCTTACAGGATAAGTGAAATAATCAGCTGCCATAATCCTATTTCAGTGGTGTCATAGTGGGTGTCCCCATACAAGTGCTTATTTTAAGAAGCATATGAAAGCCACATTTTCTAGTGTAAAGTTTCATAGCTATTCCACTGCTTCATCCATGTCTGGCTTTAATTGGACAGGAAAAAACAGGCAGTCTGCTATCAGTAACACACAGTATGCCAGCTCATGATCTCTGTCTCACACAGGCATTTGGAGACACGTACATAAGCCAAGAAAACCAACCAGGAAAAGCAGAGCATGTGTTCTGTAGTTAAAACACAGAAGCTCAAAACTCAACTCACAACATTAAATGCAACTAACGATGAGACAAGGAGTGCATGCTCAAAGTTAACTATCTAACCAGTTATCCTGTGGGTCTTTTTTCTGGCTGCTCACTGTTTGAGCCAAAACTTACTCCTTACCCTCTTTAGATTTCTCCTCAACTGGAGGAGGCTGTTCAGGCAGGTCCTCCTTCTCCTCTCCCTCCAGTCCATCGTCAGGTGTCTGTTTCTCGTCTTGGGAGACTTCACGAGCAGAGGTCACAGAAGCACCAGCCACAATTCCCGACGCCAGACGAACGTCTTCCTCTTCAGAGTCTGGGTCATGGTACGACTGAAGGGATAAGATAAGTTATTGTAAAGGAACAGATGAAAAGTGGGAATCACATTGGACACTGAAATAGGTTGAATACAGCCGTTTAAGTCAAAAGTTATGGATGGCTATTTTACAGAACATTCAGGATATTAGTTGTAAACTTAATAGTGATTTATATCTTGCAAAAGTCTTGCAACACAGTTACTGTCTTTAAAATGTCTTCTTGGAATATAAACTTTTTAATAATGTTTAATAGGAACTAACGTTGTTTCGAGTCATTTGGAAAATATAAATCACACAATTAATAGTTTTTTGGAGTCAACACCTGGACAGAATAGATGCATTTGTTTTTCTTACTGGTCACTTTAAACTTAACAAAACACTTCCTCCTTAAAATGTACCAAAGCATTTGGTTAATAGCTTGGACATGCTTAAATGTACCCATCTCTGTTGCAGTGTCAACATATCATGAATACCCTGAAATAACACACAGTAAAATGTGATAGACTCAACCCATAAAAGATACTGGGTAGCAGATAACATGGCATGCATAAAATGATACCAAAACCCATTTGTATAGTTTTCTACTTCCCATCACATTTGCATCGATAATTCATCAGTCGAGTCAATAATCAACAGGGTGTGATATGCTAACTTGAAGACCAACATCAAACAGCTCATGGCGTACCTTCAGCTCTGGTCCTTCATTACCGTGCTGCTCTTCATCTAAAAAATAACAACATGACAAAATACAGTGTTAACTTGAGATTGACATCGCTGAATACGAGCAGCTACCTGCAACAGTTTAAGAAACAGACACTTCAGGTATTAACCAAGTATGCAACAAAACAGACATACGTACCAGCTGTTATTCCTTTGACGAAGACCAGCAGCAGAATGGTGAAACAATAAAACGTCCTTGCGGTCTTTAAATGCCTCTTATAGCCCATTGTTGACGAGCTAACAGTCTGCTAGCTGTAGCTGCGGCTATTTCTATCGCCACACATTCAGCAGCAGTGGAGGCGCACTGTGATCCGTAGCATAAATAAACTCACACACACACACGCTCACTAAAACGTAACCGTATTTTCTCTGTATAACAACGTGGTTAATTTGAGCTACTGTAGCTGTCAAACAAGCTACCGAACTCCAAAGCAAAGCTACGCTAGCAGAGTAGTGCCTGCTGAATTGACGTTCAGATAGCTAACAAGCTAGTGTTACACAGCCACACAGCACAACCAAACAGCGCAATATTCGCAACAGACGCAACACTCTGGTTAAATAAATGGCTTCCGAGTACCTCTCGGTACTTCAAAATGTCCGAGTTTAACGGCAAAACGGTGAATCTTTATCCTTTATATTAACCAGATACTACTTAGCTACCCTAAGCCCCTACTACTGATCGACACTTCCTATTCTCGCAGGTCGACCAATCACAGCGCGCGTAGTTTGACAGTAGCCAATGAGCGGGGAGCAAAGACGTGTCAGCGAATCAGGTGCGTACACAATTATTTTTCTAGCTGACGGGTTTGTCCACGACACCAAAACACGTTATGAAGATAATAATCACAGGAGCACCACAAACATAAAGAAAAAAAACACTAATATTATGTATATGTTTATCAAATGTGACAGAAATGGGTCTTGCCGATTTACTCTACACTGATGTCACTTTTCTCCATGATAGCAAACCATGTGGTTGCTATGCGTTCACCTCATGTTGCTTGGATTTTTGCATTCAGACGTCTGTTACCATAGAGGATAGATGTCTCTGTTACGTTTGGTGTCGGTCTCTAATCCATAGTAAACCAGTGCACTTTGTCTCAGGCCCTGTAAGCCTCCCTAAGACAATTAGCACTCTGCCCCTTTGACTAACTGGGGCCATTCATTCTCCCATGAAATTAGTTAAGGGTTAGGAAACAGTATCTGATCAGGGCTGTCAGCTGTCTTTGCAAGTGTTGCATACAGAAGCACTCGTACCATCAGATGTGGTAATTAATAATTGCATATTTATTTACAGGTTGGTTTAGTGGTCATTTCAGAGGCAGTAATAAGCCATAGACATCATAATCTGAAAAAAAAAACATTCACAGTAAACAGATAATAAAAGGCAGGAAGTGAATTTTTGAACAGTGACAGAATATTTGTTAACACTTCACAGCTCTTCACAAGAGTTACATCTGCAATGTTTGACTCTGTGGTACAGATTATGATCTTCCACAGACTGTTGAAACTGAGAAACTACACAGAATTAGATTAGATTCTTAGTGAAAGCCAAGAGAAGTACAGATATGTGCCAAAAAAATAAAATTGAGATTTTCTATTCCTGGATTAATACAACGTTTACCAGAGGACTATATCAACTCATATCCAGACTGAGAAGTGTACAGAGTCAAATATCAAAACAAGCTAAAAGTAGTAATGTCCAGATACTTTTGCAACCCATCATGTGAGTGTATCACTGAAGGCCATTTATACAGTCAGCAATTTATTTCTTTAAAATCATCGCTAAATATTTTTAAAATTATCAAATCTTTGGTACAAAACTTGTAAGGCAATTAAATTCCAAGCGAGTTTACACAGAGGCTATATATAAAATGTGTTTGTTCACTGGTGACTAGCAGTTTTTGAAGATGGATTCACACATTAACACACTCAAACATCAACGGTTTAAAAAGTTAGAACGTACAGCAATATTAATGTACCTTAAAAACAGTGATATCATCATTGCGTGCCCCGGTTAGCTGTCAGTGACGATATAATTATGAAAAGTTTTGGGGTCACTGCTGTGGCCCCTCCCTTACATTCACTCCAATTTGATACATAAACATTTAACATTGTGAACATATATTTGCTTTTTAAGGATTTTATTGAAACCATAAATAAATAAAGGCCAATATTGTCATAATAAAAATAGACCTTAAATTTATTTATGTTATGTAATTAATTTGTGATTTAATAGAATATTGATATTTTATCGCCCCATAACTTAACTATTTCAACTTATTACTGCAGACACAACAAAGTGATTAGTGGCAATCAATCACAGTATACAACTGCAATACTTGCAGTAGCACATAATATTAAGAATCACAATATTGGGGCTAAAGTGCTGTGACAAAGTGGGAGAAATGGTATACTTCCATCACAGTACAACACTGGTCTGTCAGGACTCCACAAATGACAAGGTTTAATAAAAACAAGTGGTTTTCTTCTGCACATACTTTAGGTTGGTGGTACATGAGACCCAAAATTCTAATTTGTACCATAATGCAGGGTGGGAAAAATGGAAAAGTCTGTGTTATTGTAAATCCAAGAACATACTTTTCCCTTTTTCTTGTCTCACAATCTGGTTGTTCTACTTAGTGGAGAAAAAAAGTATTTCCACACAGATTTCACCAAAAGGAGTTTCATACATTTTAAAACTACCATTGGACTACTTGTATTTTTTTGGCAGTTCTCAGGACCAGCTAGTTGTGTGAACCCTATGCAACCACCTGTGCTGAGAAATGTCTCTGCTACAAAGTGGATTGTGCCAGTAAGTCCAGAACCAGCAGAAACCACAGCGAACCAGGTGAGGTCTCTTCTCAGTAGGATGCGATGGTGAACATTTGGAGTAGTCAAGCGTGCAGCAGGATTATCGCTGTACAGCTTTGATGACCCATTCTGCTGTAGGGTTCAGCTGGATGAGGTCTTTCATATACGTTTCCCCATCTAGACATCTCCCCTCTGTGGGGCAGCAGATAAAGAGGAGAGGGAGGAGAAACAACAAAAGAGACACATGATGCAGTTACTTACTGATAGCTGCAAAGGCCGAAGAAAGTACATGTTTTTCACATTTTATCAGATCAGTTTATGGTAGAAGCCAGACTTACTGATGTTTCCACCAATCTCATAGAGACACAGCTCTTCTCGTTTCACTGACACTGAACTGGGGGGACAATGAGAGAAAGCACAAGAGAGAGTAAGAGAAAAAGTTAAGGATGGACCTTATATAGCCAACACAAATACTGCATGTGTATTTGTATGCAGTGCCGTATCTGTGTACACATTACCTGTCCTGGCTGAGGAAGCGTGTTAATACATCAGCAGCCTGCAGCTCTTCAGTAAGCTGAACCACCATAGACACTTTACTGAACTGCGGTGCTTGGACTCGAATAAATCCCTGCGAACTCTCCTGGTTGTAAACACAGGGACAAACGGAGAGTGAGAAAACATACAGTCAATCATACAGCCCTAAACACTTCACAGTATTGAGGTCCAAAACACTGTCCTCATCGCACACAACATGCAACAAGAATGTGGACTTGGATAAATTCCCGCTCTTCTGTTTAATAAACTCCAAACACTGTCTGGTCTCACAGCACTCAGCTGAACACCCAAGGTCAAGTGTTGCTGTAGTTACTCATTTACCACCATATTGTCAAGAAGGACAGTACTCTATATTATATGTATTTCAGTATTATAACATAGTAGCCTGTTTTCCAAAGACCTTGATTGTTAATTTATTTAGCGCAGAGAAAAGCCAAATCCCTATTGGTGATCACGACATTCACATTGATTCACATAAGCAATGGCACAGCCAAGTGAAATCTTGGACACTGACTCCCAATCCAATGCCTTTTTTTATGCAAGAAAGGATTGTTAGAGAACCAAAATTTCAGTATTCATTTCAGTTTGTGTGAAATCTTCAGATGTTTTTAAATGCTCTCAATAACTGATTTTGTGCTCATTAGATACTACTGAATCCAATTAAAACATGTATACTGTATATATATATATATATATAGATATATAGAATGGTGCAATTGATTGTATCGATGCATTTGGGTTCAGTATCTTATAAATAATTGTCTGAATGTCCTGTATTTGGCTCCCACATGTTGCACCACGGGAAAAATATGGCCACATAGGAACACCATTCCTATACATCACCACTAGATGTCTCTATTTCTCAACAGACTGCATATACAATCTACTCAGAGCAGCACTATACCTTATGACCACCATACAGCAGGGTGATTGGCTGGTATCAAATTATGACTATTTAGTTTTTTGTTGTGTCTTTATTATATCAATTCAGCTAACATGTAAACAAAAATGTGTAGTAGGTGTTACATTGTATAAATAATGAAAACTGTGAACTATTAACAGTGATTTATCACACATATGAATTACTACATGAGCATAAAATGAGAACTCCTACCTCTGGGGCTGCTTTGTCAGATGGTTTATCGGTTGTCATTTTCTTCAGCAGCTTTCTTACAGCTCTCTCTTTACTTTGTTTCCGCTGACTTTCCATGTTTTGTTGTCTGACCTGGTTCACAATGAACTTGGGGATCTGGAGACAACAGACACACACAAAAGGGAGATTTGATACC